TTACCCACTATTGTTATCCCTTTTTTTTAAACCTATATAGTTTCCACCCAACCCTCTACCTGATACAAGTAATAACCAACAACCCTTAAATGCTTTTCCCAACCCTGAGGACAAACTTTTTCGGGAGAGGAGGTGTCATCCTCTAGAATTGTTTCCAGCTGTCATAGGGGCGATGTTCTCTTTATGGGATCCTGAAAAGTAAAGTGATGGTTAAGTTTCAACATTTCTGTCTAGTATAGTTGCAAATGATTTTTCAAAGTTCTTCTTTGGAGTTCTGGTCAGAACATCATGAGGAGGTGAACCATTTCAGCAGCTGGTTACCAAAAACCAGTCTTATAGCAGCGCTAACAGCATCATGATGTCATCTCAACCAGGTGGAGTTGTTGCTGTGGGGCTCCATTTTCTACCTGGAAACTTCAAAGATTACTGCAGGAAAAGGATCTGTCTATTGTTCATCGAAGAAAACTTAAACATTATTCATATAAACATATAATCCATGAAGAATATGATATAGACAAAATAGACATGAAGAAAGAAAAATTTTCTAAAGTCTTCCTTCTGTCCCACACCAGATGGTTCCCAATATGAAACCAAAACTCTAAATGTTTCTTTAAAAAAAAAAATTTAGATTTAGAGACATACAGAGCCATTGTCCAACTCCAAAGCCAGCTCAATATATTCATATGTGTGTGTGTGTGTGTGTGTGTGTGTGTGTGTGTGTGTGTGTATTAATCACCTGACCTGACCTCATAAATCATATTCCTTTTTCTTGATGATCCTCATTGGATAGTTATTTTTTCTTCTGTCAGCATCCAAACATCCAGGGTCTCTTGAATTTTTGAAGAGTGTATTTTCCTGTAAAGATAAGAGCAGAACCCTGCCCCAACTCTATATGGTTTCCTTACCACCTATATGGTTGTCACCATTGTGGATGAGCTGTCATTTCTCTTTTCCAAGATGTTTCTCCTCTTCAAATCAAACCTTTATTAATTTTAATGGTATCCTTAGTTTGTCTTCTTCTGTGGAAACAAGAGCAAAACCCCTTTCCCAACATAGCACATCTGGTTTCCATTGTGAGGTCAACACATCCTTGAAATACACTGGTGAATTCAATTCAGAAGTTTTTTTCTTTATCCAATGTCTCTCTGCTGCTGTTGTTCCTTTCTCATTAGTGTTAAGAAAATTCAAGGTTAATAAAGCATTATGCAATCTATTTTGGGGGTATTTTTCATCCCTGTTTGTTTGTTCAGCATATCCTTTATAGTTCAATTTGACCTTTCTATAACTGCCTGATCTGTAGGATTATTTGGTATACCTGTAATGTGCTTTATATTATAATAGGCAAGAAAACGTTTCATTTTCTTAGATACATATACTGGACCATTGTCTGTCTTTATTTGTGCAGGAATGCCCATGATACTATAACTTCTAATAAATGTGTGATTACTGAATCAGCCTTTTCCGAGCTCAAGGCAGTTGCCCATTGAAAACCTGAATGCATGTCTGTGGTGTGGTGCACATATTTTAATTTACCAAATTCCATAAAGTGAAACACATCCATCTGCCAGATTTCATTCCTTTGAGTACCCTTAGGGTTACTCCCTGCAAGCCACAATGTTTGGTTATAGAAAGAGCAAGTAGGACACCTCTTTATAATCTCCTTAGCTTGTTACCATGTAATAGGAAATTCTTTCTTTAAACCTTTGCTATTGACATGATTATTTTAATGAAATTCAGAGGCCTGCAACACAATTCCAATCAATAACTGATCAATTTCTGTGTTACCATGTAATAGAGGACCTGGCAGACCCATATAGGATTGAATATGTGTTATGTATATAGGTCAAAGCCTATTCCTGATTATGTCTTGCACCTGAATGAATAATGAAGTCAATTTTGTATCATCTGGTATAAATTTAGTGGTTTTAATATGCAAAACAACTCTTTTTGCATATTGTGAATCAGTAACTATATTGAGAGGTTCTTTAAAATCCCTTAGTACCATAAGAATAGCATATAATTCTGCCTTCTGGACAGAATTATAAGGGCTTCGTTCCACCTTACTTAAATCTTCTGATTTGTAACCTGCCTTCTCTGATTTTTTGCATCAGTATAAAATGTATTAGCTCCAGTTATCCAAGAAGTATTCTTTATAAGGTTAAGTCTATTCCTTTTGGGATAATTGTTATTAATTTCTTCCAAAAACTTAGCACAAGCTCTTTGTCATGGTTTATTGTCTTCCCATAACTTTTTTATTTCATCAGTAGTGAAAGTCACTATAATCTCTTCTGGATCTATACCTGCTAATTGATGAAGTCTCAATTTACCTTTTATAATTAATTTAGAGACCTTTTCCACTTAAGTTTTTAATTTTTTTTACTTGGTTTATGTGGTAAAAAGTTCCATTCTAATATCATCCCTCCACATTAAAATTCCTATAGGGGAAATTTTAATATGAATAGTCATATTCCCTAGTCTAGGCAATATGACTAGAATACAATTAAGATTTGGATTCACCTATCCACAGGTGCCTCCTGTGATTTCTCCTCAACAATTGACAATTCTTTTTTCACTTCAGCTGTTAATTTTGTGGGACTATTCAAGTCCTTATTACCATCTAAGGTTTTGTTTAAATGAATTATTAGATCAGGTGTTATCCCAACAGCCGGTCATAGACTGGAAATGTCTCCTAATAATCTTTGAAAGTCATTAAAGTCTATAACTGGTCTCTTCTAACTTTTGTGCCTTTTGTGTTTTAATTTTCTGTAACCCTATTTTGTAACCTAGGTAATTAACAGAATCTCTTCTTTGAATCTCTTCAGGAGCAATTTGTAATCCCCATTTAGTCAAAATTTTATTTCTTCAAACATCCTTTCTAAAGTATCTGCATTTGAATCAGATAACAAAATGTCATCCATGTAATGGTAGATTATAGACTTAGGAAATTGCTTACGTATTATCTCCAATGGCTGACTTACAAAGTATTGGCACAGGATGGGGCTTTTGAGCGTTCCCTATGGGAGGATGGTTGATCATGACCTAGGGGACAGGTCAGTAACACTAATAGTTCTTCAGGTTCCTAATCAAAAATCAGGTTTGCTCTAGCATTTAAAATCTTTGAAAGAAACACTCCTAGTGTCTTTGGCAATTAGTACTAGGAAAGGGTACTCCGCTCCTCCACCCTTTGGACAAGGATTACAAACTGGCTGTTTATCTTGTGCATGAACACAATTCTCCTATTAAAAACATGTTAATTCCATAGACAGAGAAAGGAAGAAAATACAAAATAGTGCCTAGAAAAAAAGTGTGTGGGGGGTAAAAGTTCATTAAAAGATTCATCTTTTTATCTAACCTCACCCCATTTAGTCAGAGGCCCCAAAACTCTAAAATTTCGAGGTTTTCCTGTATGCTTTATCTACCCCAGTAAGAATTCTAAGAATCCTTTCTCAAGTATTCCCTATCCAGGAGGGAACCCACACTTAGTGGTGGTCCTGTGTGCATTTTAAACTGAATGCATATTCACAATGAAAACGACATTCCCATACTAAGTGAAAGACCTTAAAAGTACCATATCTACTGTGGAGATTAAACACTTGATCACTGTAAATGTAATTTAAAATGTATTTTCTATCATTTCAGGGAAATCAGATCTATTTTCTGGCTGTTTTCAGAGCCCTTTGAATATGTTTGTACTCACTAGGAATGGACATTTCTGTGAAATTAATCAAATAGGGAATTCAATGTTCCTTACGATAATTTTGGCCATATCCCATTGGGAGTTTTCTAGTCCGAGTTTGTATCTTTGCTGGGAAAGACCCCTGTGTTCCAGATCCTCATTCTTTCCCTACTTAGCTGTAAGAGTGATGAGTGGAGTCAATACACACGGAACTAATGACAGTGCGAATTTGACAAGAAACTCTGCTGCAGGCTTCATTACTAAAATAAAAAAAAATACTTGAGGATAGAACTTTACATGAATTAGATACAAATCAGTGTCAAAATATTCTAAGGCACCATATTAATTTCCTGATCTTCCGTCTTTTTAAATAAAAGAAATCTAAATTGGAGAATAAGAAAACATTTCAACAAAACTAGAGATTGCAAGTTCTATTTTTTTGCTATTGTTTTTGGTTATCTCATAAAATAATCCAAAATCTTACTCTAGCCCTAGTTTTCTATTTTTGTCAGTTTTCATTCTGCTGGAGGCTGTTGTACGACTCGTACCATACACATGCTGGTTTCACCCCAAAGCTTAAAGAATCTCACAGGTTTTCTCAGAATCCCCACACCTGGGACATTGCTCAACCAAAGTCTTTAAGCCTAGCATGTGAACTGAATCACACCTGCAGAGGAGTTTGTGTTTTAGCTGGGTGGGGACGTTTAAATGCAGAATTCCAGGTGACTAAAGGTATCAGGAAGCCTTATTTTAGAGCTGTCATTAGAACAGCAGGTGAGTGTGTCCCAGTAGAGAAGTATATGGTCTAGGAAGTCTTCGGATTAATACACAAAATCCTTATTAAAAATCCAATGAGAGTTTAGGAGTAGAAAATACAGTAAATATATAGCAATGTACTAATTATTCAAGTTTGAATAAAAAAGAATTGTTACTTCTATCAAATCCCACTTCCAGAACTCTCTTGAGATAGTTACGTAATGCCAGTTTTAAACACCCAGTCTACAGGTCATATTAACATGTTTGATGTGACATATCCTGCAAATATTGCATTTTAATAGATTTCCACATTGGCACACGGTGAATAAAAAATTTTTGTTTCACAACTTGGCTGATTTTACCTCTAAGAGAATATAAAAGAAATGCCAATATGGAAGAGTGGCCTTTCCAAAATCACCATAACTGCAAACAGCTTGCTAAACTTGTGAATTTAGGAATTTTGCCTAGTAATATATAAATTCAATTGCTTGAGCCACAGTTTATAAAGGACTTACCATGTATGATGAAACTTTGTTTTATGTTCAAGAATCATTTTCTCCATCCACAGGACCAAACAGAAATGGCAAGTACTCAATTTGAATGTCAATACTGCACGACATCCCTTCTTGGGAAGAAGTATGTACTCAAGGATGATCATCTCTACTGCGTCTCCTGCTATGATCGGATCTTTTCTAACTATTGTGAGCAGTGCAAAGAGCCAATTGAATCAGATTCTAAGGTAGGTACCACTTCAGTTGACATGGTCACTGCTCATGAGGTGGGTAACTGCTTCAGAGTGGCCCTTTTCTCTGTATGTTGACTTTCTACCCACATTTTCTACCACATTATCATATCAAGTCCCGATGTGTAGTACTGCGGAATGCATGTTTTAATCCCACATTATCCTTAAGACAACTTTAAGTGTATGCATGTGTGGTAGTTTTTAGGATGAGTAAAAATTTAAAGAAGTTAAATTATTTCCCCAGAGTTTTACAACTAAACATTGAGTCACTTCTGGAGTACCTAATATATACAAAAATACATTAAAAAAGAATTTGGAAACAAAAATTTCAAAGCTTGTGCTTTCCAACTTAAAAATCTGCCTTGTCTCCTTTAGCCGGGAGACTGCTCCTTTGCACTTCACACTTCCTCCTCTGGGCTTGTTGTTGGCTTTCTTTCTCGCCTTTGCTTTAACTACATATTGTCATTTGTTTGCTTGAAGTCTCAAGGAATAAGATTCTGTAACCTAAAAATTAAAATTATCCCTATAACGTTTTCTTGTAGGTTATAAAAGAAAACAGAGAAACTTAACAAATTCCAATGAGGTTATTTTTCAGTGGCCTTTAGTGACCAATCAAACAGGCCCCAGGCTTTTGCTCTTAATTACTCCAGAGAGTCTTTTCTACGGATAACAGAATCAACAACGTTCCCTCCAGTTAGTGGTACAACCTACTGGTACTAGGGTCCCAAGTGGGTCTCAACTTGACTTAGAAAATGGCTTGTTTCATTGCAAGCCCATCTAATTGACTTTATTTGATGTCTCCAAAGGATCTTTGTTACAAAAACCGTCACTGGCATGAAGGTTGCTTCAAGTGCACCAAATGCGACCACTCTTTGGTGGAAAAGCCTTTTGTTGCCAAGGATGAGCGTCTGCTGTGCACAGACTGTTATTCTAATGAGTGTTCCTCCAAGTGCTTCCACTGCAAGAGAAACATCATGCCAGGTGAGACCCAAACCTAGCTCTGCCCAAGGAAGCCTCCTCACTCTTCAAGCAGCACCAGTGCCTCACAACGCTGGTTTGAGAAAGACAATATTCTTGCCCGTTTTCTCTAATTCACGATCTATTCTTCTTGATTAAAGTAAATTGCAGTGCTCTTTAATTTTGTAATGTTATTACAGTGCTCAATGCTTCAATTTCATAAGACCTAATTCATAGAAATATGTTGAGCCAGAGACAACTCTAAGGGATAAAGCTTGTACCAGAAACACAACGGAAAATGCTCTGTCCTGAGCATAACTAATGGCATTAAAAGGGATCATTCTTTATCAGACATTGGAGATAGTCCTCACTTTTAATCAATCTATTCATTCATTCATTCATTGTGTCTATTGTTTTTCTGTTGTGGGGAGTGTTAGAGGACAATTTTTATAAGTCAGTTCTCTCTTTCCATGAAGTGGGATCCAGGGATCAAACTTAAGTCATTAGTCATAGCAGCAAGCCCTTTTTACCAGTTTCGCCTTTCCTTTTTTTATGTGTATATGAAAAAAGAAAAGATGCTATCCTTTTTTTTTTTACTATATATACCAATCCAAGTTCCCACTCCTTTCACTCCCCCCACTCCCTCCACATACCCTCCCACCCAACTCCCATCCAATCCTCAGAGAGGGCAAGGCACACTGTTCTGTGGAAAGTCCAAGTTCCTCCCCACTATATCCAGGCTGAGCAAGGTATCAACCCAAGGAGAATAGATTCCCAAAATCCAGTACATGCAGTAGGGATAAATCCTGGTGCCACTGTCAGTGGCCCCTCAGTCTGTCCCAGCCATGGAACTGTCAACCACATTCAGAGGGACTAGTTTGGTGCTATACTTGTTCCTTCCTAGTCTGGCTGTAGTTGGAGAGCTCTCACTAGTGCAGGTAGACATTTTCAGTGGGTGAACCCATCATGGTCTTGACCTCTGCTCACATTCTTATTCCTTCCACTCTTTAACTGGACCTCGGGAGCTCAGTACAGTGTTCCAATGAGGGTCTCTGCCTTTGTTTCTTTCCATCAGTTGTTAGATGATGCTCCATGGTGGTTTTTAAGATATTCATCAGTCTGACTACAGGGCAAGTCAAGATTGGGCCCCCTCTCTTCTATCGCTTAGGGTTCTTGCTGGGGTCATTCTTGTGGATTCCTGGGAATTTCTCTAGAGTCAGGTTTTGGCTAACCCTATAATGGCTCCCTCAATCAAGATATCTCTTTCCTTGCTCTCATCTCTGACCTTCCTCCATCTCGACTACCCCATATCCTCAAGTTTTCCTAACCCTTTCCCTTTACCCCTCTTCTTCCCCTTCCACCCTCCCTACTCCCCCACCCCCATGTTCCCAATTTTGTCAAGCAATCTTGTCTGTTTCCAAACTCCCTCCTCAGGTGGATCTATAGATGTTTTTCTTTGAGTTCATCTTATTACTTAGCTTCTCTAGGATCATGAATTACAGGCTCAGTGTCCTTTGTTTATAGCTAGTATCCACTTATGAATGAGTACATACCATATTCATCTTTTGGGGTCTGGGTTACCTCACTCAGAATAGTGTTTTCTAATTCCATCTATTTACATGCAAAATCAAGGTATCTTTTTTTTTTTTTTTAACTGCTGGCTGGTATATTAATGTGTAAATGTGCCACGTTTTCTTTATCCATTCTTCAGTTAAGGGGCATCTAGGTTGTTTCCAGGTTCTAGCTATTACAAATAATGTTGCTATGAACGTAGTTGAACAAGTGCCCTTGTGGTATGATTGAGCATCTTTTGGGCATATGCCAAGAGGGTATTGCTGAATCCTGAGTTAGGTTGATTCCCAATTTTCTGAGTGATGTAGGTGGGTCTTCTATCTACCTTTTCCATCTGAGAAAGCACCATACTGATGTCCAAAGAGGTTGTACAAGTTTGCATTCCCACTAGCAATGGATGAGCGTTCCCCTTACTCCACATCCTCTCCAGCATAAGCTATCATTGGTGTTTTTGATCTTAGCCATCCTGACAGGCGTAAGTTGGTATCTCAGAGTCATTTTGCTTTGTATTTCCCTAATGGCTAAGGATGTTGAACATTTCCTTAAATATCTTTTGGCCATTGGGGAGTCCTCTGTTGAGAATTCTGTTTAGTTTTGCCCCTCTCACAGATTTGCAATCTCTTTGTCATTAACCTTTGTTATTACAGACATAAACACAAACAGGTGTATAAATGCAGCCTGTTGAAGGCTTTCAGGGTTTCCTGTAGGTTTGTGTGTTCCAGGACTGACCATGTAGGATCAGATAACTGACCAGAGGCTCATCCCTAGGAAATAATAACAATCCCTCTGCCCACATCTCAGCAGCTGTTAGTCATAGTTCTTCACTTAGTGGTGGGGCCCCATAAAATTTTCCCCGTCTGTGTTAGAACATCAGCTGTTGTTGGAATTGTTCAGGTCTTGTTATATCTATCTTCTCATATCAAAAGGCGCTCATATCTGATAACTCATAACTGATCTCACGGCAAAGTTTCTGTTCCTCTAGCTCTTAAAATCTTTCTCTTTCTCTCTCTCTCTCTCTCTCTCTCTCTCTCTTTCTCTCTCTTTCCTATCCCTGCAGACAGCAGCATAAGAACATGAATCAGTCAACCCTACCTGGAAGCACACTAATCAATATTACTCCTACCACTATTATTAATATGAAGTCAAATGAATTCAGAAGCCATTTCCATAACCTGTATCACAGGAGTAGTGTCCTGGGCACTTATAATTACACGTCTAATGACAGCTATGGCTCAATCTGCCTGAACCATGAACCAGTCCAAATCTCGACATGCAGGGCTTCCCCGTAACTTTTGCAGAAACTGCAGGGGTTTTCTGTGCATGATCTACTCTTAGCCTTGCAGAACTGTAGCATCTTTTCTTTTCTCTAAGAATATCCCAGAAACGACAAAATGCTTTTCTAAAAGTTTTTTTACTATTTATTTATACAGCAATACAGTTTATTATGATTATACTTAAAATATTTTAAATAATTGAGGCATTTTTTTAAAGGAAACACAAGTATGCCTAGCTTGTTCTAACAGAGTCTTACTTTGGGATCTAGGTTCTCGAAAAATGGAATTTAAGGGCAACTACTGGCATGAAACCTGTTTTGTGTGTGAGCACTGCCGACAGCCGATAGGAACCAAGCCTCTGATCTCGAAAGAGAGTGGCAATTATTGTGTGCCGTGCTTCGAGAAGGAGTTCGCTCACTACTGCAACTTCTGCAAGAAGGTAGTTATCTAAAGCGGGTAAAGCTATGGGAACTTCCAGAACACTGTCTTTGTTTTTGTTCTTTGGCTGCCGTATATATTTGGAATGAAGTGAGCCCATCACACATGAGGTAGTCTTTAAATTTCAACACAGCACAAACTAAAATTCTCATATGAAGATGTCTTGCTCTTGGAGTAGCTATAAAATTCCATCTTAGATCATGAATCTAATGTTCAATAACAGGTGATTTGACCTCCCAGTCGCATTAACTGCTTTATAGAAACTTTGTTCTGGGACAGCTACATTTCCCTGTGCCTCCTAGAAGACAATTTTGATCCATTTAGTATTAACTGCTTCAGAGAAATATGGATTTGCCCCTCAGAATGATTGACGACAACAGGTACTGGAAAACCTGCCTTTTATTTTCAAATAACTAAAATCTCTTCTAGCCTTGGGGCTTTGTGTTATCAAGGAGAAGACTGGTAGGCTTAAGTAAGTGGCAGATCGTATAGAAATCCGGTTCGCATGAAGACACAAGAAACCCAAGAACTGCGATTTCATTCATTTCCCACTCCAGCACAAAAGCGAGCGCCCTCTCACTTGTTTCCCCATTCAAAGCATACTTCCCAGAAGGGCAAAGTCATTTTTAGAAATAAACATGACCTAGCATTTCATCTTCGATGCGTTTATGTGAAAAGCGACTCATGTCCATCATCTTGATGAAGCCTGTCTGTGCTCATAAAATCTATACTGGTATTCTCAAAGAGAGCCTTACCACGTGAAGCACCATGAGTTTAAAATGGCACTGTGGATTGTAGGAGAACGCTGAATCATGACAACGGATTGTGCTGGTTCCCGAATACCATGATTTGTTAACTGCCTTGATGGCTCTCAAAACCACTGTGTATTTCCATCTGGAGAGCTCATTACACTGTCTCCAGGTGCATCCACAAGCATGGATATATGCGTACATAGTATGGCACATTTCTGCTTATATTGGTAATACCAGTGTTGCCTATGGAAAAAAGTAACCAATACACTCATCAGACTTATAATTATTCTATTGCACCACAATGGTATCTGAGAGCTACAGGGAGTAGTAACAAGATGGCAGATCATTCACTACCTGAAAGTCTCTATTGCCTTTCCAGAAATGCTGGCTTTGAAAAGGATGATTCGAGCAACAATCAAACCCTATGCCATGACCGCGTGACATAAGAAGCCTCATGGCTTCCAGAGTCCGTGGTATTTATAGCACATGCTGGAAACAAAATGAGTAGGTTTCTCTTGTTCTGAGAGGTTTCAAACTTAGGTCTCAGTTTAGGCTATCGCGTTAATGAAACTTATGGGAAGATCTTATAATTTATTGGTCACAATAGTCTTCCTTTCAATGTTTTTATAAAGACTCAAGATACCTTGGACAAAGTGCTGAATTTTTCAGGCTATGGAAGACTGTAGCTATATGGAGGACAGGATTTGAAGCCATTAGCTTATGAAATGTTCTTATTGGGTTGTAGACAGATGATGACTCATTATTTTCTATTTAATTTTTAAACTACACACTCTTTAAGAAAAGCTTGGTATAAATGATCAAAGCTAAAGAAAGATTTTGTTCGATTCAATCCAGAAGCAAAACTTGGCTTAAATAAAACCAAACTTATTGTCGATCAGACTTTTATGTTTTCCCTCACCAATTTTGTTTTGTTATACTAGAATCTTCTACTTAGAAATTGGTGGTTCAAACTGTAAGTGCTTCAGATTCAAATTCTTCAGGATAAAAATAAAATTTAAAAGTGTCCTTAAGTTCTTTAACTGCTCTCTACTGTGTTCACAATCCTCACGGTCAGGCTAAGGAGATGATACTATGTGGAGAGTCCATGCTGTGGAGCTTGAGGAGAGCTCAGATCCCAGCACCAACATACAGGCTGAGCCTGGTGGCTTGAATCTGCAAGCAAAGACAGATCAGAAGAAATGGAGAACTCACAGTTCAGTGAGAAAGCCTTTCTTGAAAACTAAGATGGGAAGTGATAGACAAGGACATTCAGTGTCAGTGTCTAGCCTCTACAGAGATGCACACAAGATATACCTGCACACTTACACACATGTACACAAAGACAGACAGACACACACACACACACACATATAGACAGACACACACACACATATGCACACACCAGAAAAAAAAAAAACTTGTTTTAAGTCAATGGTCAACCAAGACTTAGATGTTAGACTTCATCTTTGCTGTCTGTTTCTTCAAAAGGAATATAATCACCAGCAAACTTTTTTTCCCAAATGTTCCAGAGCTCTAGGATATATTATTTTGCTAGGAATCCATTTTTCAAGTTTCAGATCTTTTAAGGACTGCCTACAAATCATTTGACCAAACAAATCAAAGGAAGCGTGATTTCGCCTGTGCCTGCTGTCAGGCGTTTGAAGTCAGTGGGAGGCATTTTAAATTGCTTTCCTTCCCACATACTGCTATGCTCCTCATTTACTTATGCAGAACAGTATAGTATACAGTATAGAATACTGCTGTGCTCCTCATTTACTTATGCAGAACAGTACAGTATACAGTATAGTGTACTGCTGTGCTCCTCATTTACTTATGCAGAACAGTACAATAGGCTTTTTCCCTTCCAGAAAATTTGACTCCTATCAATTATCTTTACTTTCTGAGAAACTTGATATAAGGTTAAACTGTGTTTAGAATATTTTTTCAAAGACCCATATGATAGCCAAACAGTATGTGTATGTTTGACAACAGAGAAAGCTAGCTTAAAGGATGCTTAAATTTTTAAAAATCTAGTAAAATTGATACAGATCTGTAGCAGCCATCTTCATCATCACATTTCCTTGGTCTTTGTAAGAGACAGACATGAATATATTCCAGTTTCCTCAACAACTATATGAGGTCAACATCCATGGATTTGAAGGAACAGATGATTGTAAAGCAACCACACTGGAATACTTAACCAATATCTATCAACATGATTCTCAAAAAAAGACGATTTCACCTTTCAAAGAATATGAGGAAAAAATTGATTTTTAAGAGAATGTATTATGGGTTAAGTGATAAAAATATCTTCCTGGAACGTATAGTGTCTTGGGTTCAATCCCCCAGCACTATGCCAGCATTATAAAGAACAAATAAGCTTCTGAGCCACAGTACACCTTACTGATTCATGACTTCATGCCCAGCTTTTATGTTCATACTAGGAATCTGAACTCTGTACGCCATTTGAGACCTGAAGTTAAAAACCACCGATTAGATTCAAGCCCTTTTTTGTTCAAAGTGTAGTACTAGAATTGGCTTTCCCACATGGCCGAGCACACAGATGGTACAGTACGTGCAAGTTCAGAGCAATTCCTCACAGGGGGTAGCAAGTGACCCCGTCATCCATCACTTAAGGGCTGTCCATCTACAGAAGGACCAAGTCTATGCCATGTAGAGGTATTGAGAATATCCAGAAATGGTCTTCCCTAATCCAGTACTGAGGATGGGGTAAAAGGCAAGTCTTTGCTCACAATGATGGTGCTCATCAGTTCCGCCCAGGATATCCACAACTGCGTCTTCTCAGACTTGCAGTGAGCTTTCAAGAAAAAGTACTGGGACTTCTTTTTCATGTTTTCCAGCATTCTTCAATGTCAGATAGTGTTATAAATGTGTAGGGTAGAGCTACAGTAACCCTAACAAAAGATCTTTGAAGTTGAAAATAAGAAGACTTACAGAAAGGTGAATTCAATCAAGCTCCTGCTTCCTTCGTGATCTTCCCAGGTCCAAGGGGTCTCTACCTCTATTCTGAGGCATTCTTTAAGAAAGTGGGACTTATTTGCATTTTTGAGGTTCTGTATAATCCTTATAGCATTCGGTTTCTCATAGTGTTTTCCAAAACTGAAAGAGGTTTTCAAGAGAACATGCACCCTAATGCGAAGTAATAGAGAGTTCAGAGCACCAAGAGTCAGCATGGAGAAGCATCGTGAGATTGTCCGAATCGCAAGTGTACCCACACTCACTGCCTTCTGCTAATGCCTTGGCAGGTGATAACTTCCGGTGGGATAACCTTCCGTGACCAGTTATGGCATAAAGAGTGTTTTCTGTGCAGCGGCTGCCGGAAAGAGCTTTGCGAGGAGGCATTTATGTCCAGGGATGATTTCCCGTTCTGCTTGGATTGCTACAACCATCTTTACGCAAAAAAGTGTGCAGCCTGCACCAAACCCATCACTGGTAAGTGCTCCGGCTCATCATGGTTCTACCATGATCCGCTTAGAACTACGGAGAATGCTACCTAGTTAATTTAGGACATGCAAACAAAAGCGTATTTTTTCTACTACATTTCCTTTCGAGATAAACACAAATAGATATTCACTTATGAATTTAAATTTTACGTGGGCCCCTCAAGGAAATGACAGGATACAATTTGGGTGTTTGTACATTGGAAAAAGTAAATAATTAACTGAATGGTATGGTTTCTAAAGACAGTCATAGTCCAAGGAAGGAAAATGGGTAAGCTAAAAGACCAGAGAAGGCCCCGGTAAGGAGGACCAATTTGAGACTCAGGAATTGAGAGGGCAGAGGACTATTACAGAATCAGAATCCTACTTATTTCCAACAAAAGTCAAGCATTTAAAACACAAAAGGTTTTAAGTAAACTATTCTATAAAATAACCAAAGCTGTAATTAGAGTAACATTGAACAGGAATTAATTTAATTTCTTTAAGATGCTTTAAACAAACATATTACTACCTTCTCTATACTCACTGGCAGCAACTTGACTATGAAAGAAAACAACATAGTATTCTACTAAAGAAATGAAGTGCATGAGATATGGTTTGAAAAATAACATAGATGACAGATCAATCCATGCTGAGCAGCTTCTCCCAGGGTTGGAGGAGCACATTGTGGTTTACACAGAACCGGCTCTAAAACATTAATCCTGTGCTAAAGATGCTGAAGCCAGCATGAGATTTGGAAAAGCCAGAAACTGTTCTTCCAGGCAACTTACTGTCATTAATAATGTGACAGAGATGTATTTCCACTTCCTATCCTCTGTACTCTTAGTTCATATGCCATTTTTAGCTCAGTTTGTGTAACACCAAATTAATGATTATTCCCTTCCTTCCCATTCCTCTTTTGATCTCATATTTCTCTCTCTCTCTCTCTCTCTCTCTCTCTCTCTCTCTCTTTCTCTCTCTCGTGTGTGTGAGTGTGTATGTTGGATCTACATGAATTTTCTAATGAAGGAAAATATTTTCTCTGCTAAGCTAAACGTGAAGGCTTTCTGCATATTTGAAAAGGGAGGAAGCAGTCCTCCTTATTTATTATTTATTATTTAAGCACAATCCTGCTTGTCTACCCAGGGGGCACCATATTTTTAAGACTTACACTGGTCCATAGATTGTGTTTGGCTAGCAGACAGGTTTGACTTGGCCAATATTTAATTCACAGGGTTAGGGAGGAGACTAATGTGAAGACCATTGTTGCAACTAAAAGCACACTGAGAGCTTGCCACAGATGGTCTGACTGCCTTCGCATTCCCAAGTCACTCTGCCAAACATCACGGTGGCTGCCCTATTGCCGCAGCCAGGTCTTCTCTGTTCCTAACAAACACTCTGTCTGTCATCCAACTACATTACCTCCTTGGCCTTACGTGGTTGCATGTTAACAGCTCCAAACTGTGGACTTCTCAGCATGTGTTCCTAACCACTCTGCTCTCCTATCTTCTGTTCATCTGGCAGCTCCTGCAAAGGGAGGCAGCTGCCAGTTCCATCGCCTTTAGTTAGCACATGGGAGGTCCTGAAGTTTAAACACATCAGACTCCAGAACCTGCTTGGGCAACTCTCCCATCACAGTCTGCTCTAATTGCACTTGGGCTGGGCAAGAAAAGGAGGAAACTAGGAAGTTAAATAATTAAAAATACTTTTTACAGTGCTTAAAGAATTCGAACAGCTCCCAGGGATCTCACGGAGCCTACTCAAGCCCTGACCTTAATGGGATTTACTTCTCATCCTTCACAGACCCTGTGCCTAAATGGTGTTTCTGGTAAAGGAATGGTGTTTCTATTAGGATCCTCAGCCAACTGCACCAAGCTCCATTCGGTGTAGGAAGAAACCAACTGTTTTACACAAAAACATAAGACCAGACCGCAAATTAATCGAAATGTGACAGTATTTAAGTGAGAAGAGTCAATCTAAAGGAATTTCTAAGGATTGTCTTAAGACTGAAATGCCTGCAAAAACTGCCAGATCATTCTTATATTTCTTAAATGTATCTAAAGCCCGAAAGTAAGGCTTCTTTAAAATGAACTGTCTGGGTTAACACAGTAGGGAATCCTCGGAATGTTCTGTGTTTATCTTCAGAAGTTGTAAATTCATGCAAGCACTTAACCGTCTTAGGAGCTATGCTTTCTTACAGGGAAGTTCAAGTTTAGGCAACTGTACATTGTGGTGACTGCAGTAGGTGATAATGCATTACATCATTAAAAATCTATAAAAGACGGAATTTTAAAAGATGTATCTGAAGTAATTCATGTTAACTAGATTGATTTAGGTATTCCACAGTGTTTACATATACCATGACATCATGTTACATACTGCAAATATATACAATTAAAAATCAATGTTTTAAGAGAAGCTGTTTCTATTAGGATGCTTTTAGTATAGTATCCTATGTTAACTAACTGTACCTAGAGGTGGTTTAATGTAATTTGCTGATACTATTACAATGAATTGACTTTATTTGAACTGATAACAAATATAACTATGATTCTCTTTTTTCAGTTTTATTTTAATTAAAATATAATTATATCACTTCTTCTCTTTACTTTCCTTCCTTCATCCCTTTCCATTTATCCTGCTCAGACTCCTCCCATTTTCCTCCTCATTTTCAATTAGATACTCTCTTTTCCTTTTATTATTATTGCAACATGCGCACACATGAAAATATATAATACGAATAGTCTACTGAGTCTGTCTTTGTTGTTTTGTGCATATGTTCTCAAAGAAGACTACTTTCAAAGATGTATAACCAATTAGGGTAGAAATCCCTGGGAGATGCTAATTCTCCCTTTCTCAGTAGTCATTGGTTACTTGTGTTTCTTTGTTTTGGCATTGAAACCAGCGAGATCTATTATTCCTTCAGGTTTTGTTAATGCAGCTATTTCTAGGAGACACAATCTCAGTCATTTCACAGTCCTCTGCCTTTTACAATCTTTCCATCCCCTTTTCAAAGACGTCCCCTGAGATTTAAAGTGCAGGATCTATGTTGTGCATGTAACTTTTGAGGTTGGGCTGACCGCCACATTTTGTCCAGTTGTGGTTTTCTGCAATGGCCTCCATTTACTATAAAGAGAAGCTTCTTTGATAAGAGATGGAAGCCACACTTATTTATGAGTATAACTATAATACTTAAAATGCATAACAACAATTATCTCTCACTTTTTAAGATGTTCACTACCTCTTGAACTATCTGAGCGAGATGAAGTAGCTTGACCTAGCTCTGAACTTGTCATAGCTGCTGTGTGACTAAGGGTAAATACCTCCCCCTGGAGGCCTGCTCTTGCCAGATCTACAAAATGACTGGAAAAAGATTGGCTTTCCTTCCTTTCTTTTTATTTAGGGAAAATGGAGTTTCAAGCGCTAAAGTTTCTACAGAAGGGAGCACTAATGTTGCCAGTTATGTTCTTCACAGAGATAAAGTTAATTTAGTGAGGTTAACAGCACGGGCTGGGAAGCCAGACTGCACAGTTTGAGTCAGATCTTGCCAGCTGGTGACCTTAGATAAGTGGCTGAACTTCACTGCTTCTCGGTAGATATTTGTCTACAAACTGAAGATGATGCTACTGTCTACTCTATGAAGGTTAGATGAAGGCTATATATACACATTTGGACATTTGAACTGAAGAGTGACAAACTTCAGAACTCAATAAACTCCCTTTTTACTGACTTTTCAGGTACAAATGAAGCTAGATGAAGTGGGTGTCAAGGATCAGTTTGCTTTTTTCCTCTTCTTCTTTCTTTTTGAGACCTGGCTAGCCTGGAACTAAATATGTAGACTAGACTGGCCTTGGACTCACATAGACCTGACTGCCTCTGCTGCTCAAGTACCTGGGATAAAGGATGTGCACTACCACACCCAGCAGCAGATCAGTTTCCAGGAAAGACTTTGTTACTGTAAATGTCCCTGTTGACCTAAATAAAGAAACACAACCAAATTTGAAAAAAATTACAAAAACCTCAAGGGTTGGGCTAGACCTTAGTGTCCTACTTCTGTATGCTTCCATTTTTATTCTGTATTAAACTATATATTTTTACACTTGCCACTTGTATGTGGCTTGCTAATAAAATTGAGTATAAGTCATAAGCCTCAAAGTCCTACATATTCAATAGTTAGTTTTATTGAGAAAGATTATTTATGTGGATATAAAACCTTATTCTTAAAGTTATTAAAACTTAAGACAATCATTAATTGGTATATGTCTTAGTTAGTGTTTCTATTTCTGTAATAAAACACCATGACCAAAAAGCAAATTCAGGAAGAAAAGTTTTATTTAAATTATACTTCCATATCACTGTTTATCACTGAATTAAGTCAGAACAGGAACTCTAACAGCAAAGGAACTTGGAAACAGGAGCTGATGCAGAGGCTATTTATGGGTGCTGCTCACTGGCTTGCTCCTCATGGCTTGTTCAGTCTGCTTTCTTAGAGAACTCAGGACGACCAGCCCAGGGATGGTTACACCCGTAATAAGTTGGGACCTCACTCACAAGTAACTAAGTAAGAAAATACCCTACAGTCTTGCCTACAGCTGGTCATTGTGAAGCCATTTTCTCATTTGAAGTTCCTTCCTCTCTGAAGACTCTAGTTTGTGTCAAGTTGACATAAAACCAGACAGGACTAGTTTACTCTCATTGTAAGACAATAATGATACTATCATGAATACATAAATTATATGTTTAATAAACAAAAATGAAGTAGGACCTTGCTTTATTTATGAGCCAAACTTTGTATAAAGACAAAAAGATGGCTCAGTGGTTAAGAGAGCTTACTGCACAATCATGAGGACCAGAGTTCAGATCCCAGCACCCACACTGCATAACTCACACCCACTTGTAAATTCAGCTTCAGTGGTTCTGACACCCTTGTCTGACATACTCAGGCACCTGTACACACATGTGAACAGATAGACACATATATAAACATTTTAAATAAAAAGACGTTAGCTAAATGTCCATTATCACTTTTAGAGAACTAACTTGAAATAGATCCATAATCACACCTTGAGATCCTTTATCTCATAAGAGAATTGGGCAGTGTGTGTGGGGTCAGCACAGGAAATACTTTCTTCACTCCAGAGGTGATAAGCATGGCACCAGTAACCCATAACATGAGCACTACTTGTCCACTTGTCAAATGCAGTGAATGATGGAGCCAACCTGTAACATCCAATCACTTCTCAGCTTCTAGAACTTTTCTTTTTCCTACAACTATTCAACATTCTTTGTCAAACTGAAACTATACTAGACAGATAGGGGCCAGTGCTTTAGTGAGTGCTTTAAGAAGTAACTTAGCTCAAGTTAAGACGAAGTTAAAGTGATGGGGGCTGAAGGCCTTCTTGGAATTTATCTTTGAGTAAGGCGAGCAGGTGTCTAGAGTGAAGAGATTCCTCCGTTTACACTAGAACTCTGAACTGAAGCTGCTGCAGAGCAAGGCACTAAACTTGTTAATGGAGAATAGCTCTATGAAAGTCTGGAAGAAATTCTCAACTTGGTCTTTGGAAAATTGTGTCTCAAATCTCCCCAAATAGGATTTACTCCAAGTAAAATGAAGCAAGGGGAAATGAGGAAAAAGGAAAATTAAAGTCACTAAAACATCAAGCCCCAGGCTCAGAAGTATACATTTCTGTTATTATGTTTTCAATTTGCACCTAAGAAAACTTGCTTACATGGAGAGAGGGATAAAATATATTCATGTTTGCACATTGTGGGTTTCTATCTTCCCACTGCACACTGGTTTCCTGACTCTTGTAGTTTTCATCTGCCTCCGCCCCAAAACAATTAAAAGAAAACAATGCATATCAAGATTTATTTTACTTCCTTAGATTACAGCAGAATTGAGCTAGGAATCTTACACAGCTGAAGTTCTCAGCTGGACACGAGGCCAGAGGGCCACACCCTACGGAGTTACATGTGTCCACATCGTCTTGCTAACCACTCTATTCAACAGTTTCTAGCTGACTTCTCAATCTGTTTGTTGAAAAGAATGGATTACTCTTTGCCCCCAATTCCCTTCCAGGTCTCAGAGGTGCCAAGTTCATCTGCTTTCAAGACCGCCAGTGGCACAGCGAGTGCTTCAACTGTGGGAAGTGCTCCGTCTCCTTGGTGGGCGAAGGATTCTTGACTCAGAACATGGAAATCTTCTGCCGCAAGTGTGGCTCTGGGGCAGACACTGACGCGTAGGAAGAGACGGTCTCTCCCCGACCTGAAACCCACTTTGCCTTCACTCTCACTAAAACGGGAACTCGGTGGCAGTAATACTCTTCGTTTGTATTTTAGAAAGCAGTTTAGTGCAGGGTACATAGCAGGAAAAGGCTAGTATACTTTATAGTCGAACTCTATAATAAGAACACACAAAACACAGTCTAATAGGAAAATGAATTACTAAACCACAAAGCTCTATCTCCTTGCAACTAACACTCTGCTGTTAGAAACATGGGATAATACCTCTTCATTATTGAGTATAGGACCTATATTTAGTAGTTGTGAATATTGCGACTGAAGGACATTTTTCAAAGCTACAGAAGGAAAACAAGATCCAATTGAGAAGTATACAAGAGACAAATGTTTGTCTTTTAAACTAGCTGGTTATATATGGCACGTTAGACTGAATATGAATAGTGGAAGAACAAGATCTATGAAAAATCAATTAGTAATCATCACACCTAACAACCTTATCATTTTAGAATCATTCTTTGTTCTCAAGTACCGAATAAGAGCTGAGAAACAAAACTACAGATTTTTCTTGTACACAAGGCTTCCACCATCAGCTGCTCCTTAGTCTATGGAATTGAACAACTATGGTACTTTTATATTTAGATACAAAGGCCATCATCCCTATCTAGGCAGAGCCAAGCATGGATTTTCATTAGATTTAGATTACAGATTCAAATACATTTTAGATTAGTTATATTTCCAAAGCCCACATGGCTTTTCTAAATGTTTACAGATTTCATCTACTCTTTTAAATGAATTTAATCAAAATAATTGTTGATCCCAAAGGCAAACCTTTAATGTAAATGAATTATTAGATTTTTACTCATGAAAATGAATGTTAGGGAAGCAGTTCAATGTTAGAACACGAGATTCATCCAGATAGCTAAGACATAATAGAGTGCATAATTATTTCTAAGCCTTATACATTTTGCCTTTGAAAACTATATAGATAACTAATGATCAAACATAAAAGTGGACTTTAAAGCAACCTAGTAAAAGAAATAACTTATAAATAGTACTTCACTGTTGATAACTCAGGACCCTCAAACAAACACAATATAAAAACGTGGGAGGCAGAAAAGCCCTCCTCAGTTCTTTCACGATAGAATCACCCCATCCTAAAGCCAGCCAAACCCAGAGCTCCAGTCTGTGAATGACCAGGACTTTCAAACCCTAAGCAGTCAATTCAGAAATCAACATTTATTCTGTCAACAAGGAAGTTTTAGTGGGAATTTTGCCATGATATAAACAACCCTTGTTTCAAGCACCAATCAATCATCATTAAATGAAATTGCATAGGTAAAATTAAGCATGCTGATTATTCTGTGATCTAGAAAATAATTTACTCACAACTGTAAAAATATAAATTCTTCAAAATTTAGATATACAAGATATGGTATTGTCTCTCTTAATCAATTACAGATAATCATGTAGCACATGATATTCCCTGATTAAATTAAATAGATCAAGTGTTTGTCATGGTACATGGGAAAAAATAGGGTAAGGGTTGCATTTAAACTTTTTATGGTACTGGAGTTCGAACCCAGGACTTTACACATGCTGTGCAAGGACTCTATCACGAGGATACATCCCTACCCTTTGCACTTAATCTTAGCAATTAAATGCATAAAATCATTTGCTAGATAAGCATTTTATTATCTTTTCTTAGTTATAGTTCATAAATATATAGAAATAGTTACCAATTTTTGTATTGCTTAGTAACCAAATATATATCTAATGTGTATCGCCAAGAGTTAAAGGTCATGCTTCTGGGACTTTGAGGTGGTGGGAGGGCAGATCTGGGTTCAAAAATATGACATTCTCACTGCAAAGACCCTTCTGTAATGAATGAGGAAAGTGCCACTGAAGATAACAGCATTCACATGAAAAACAACTAAGAAAGGCTTCTTCCCAATGACACACACAACGATAACTGTGAAAAAGGAATGGATGGTTTATTTGATTTATAAATGGAAAATTATCTTTACTGGCTTATTAAAAATGGGATGGGCTGCCTCAGCAAGCAGTGGACATTCATGATGCAGGGTGACATCTGCATGGGCAGAGAAGTAGTTAGAAGCAAGTCTTTCACCAGATGGCTTGGAAGTTGCAGAGATGCTGTGCTATATAGAGCAGGGAGAAATGATATTACTACAAGCAAAAGTCAGAGGAAGGGGAAAATGAACTGTCTGGATAAAAGGAACAGATGTATATATAATAGGTTATGGAAGTTGCCAGTGTTCTCGGCTAGCACAGACAGGAAAAGGCTATGACAGTGTTCAAGGACAGTTATATCTACATGCATACTGTGTGGAAAAGGACCAGAGTGCACAGGCATTCACCAGATGATCCCTACTGTTCCTCATGTGCACGGCAATTGGTGAAATTGAGAGAACCAATGGAAGTTCAAACCTAGGGCTGTGTTGGCTGATGAGGTGAGTGTACATGTCAACAAATCAAGATACTCAACTTTGCTATATTTGGGGTTGAAGTTGATAAAACAGAATTTTGTTCTGTTAAGGAAGATGGGTAGTATGCCCAAGGGCTCAAGTTTTAATTAACAAAACCATTAAAAACTTTGACTGAGATAAATTAGCACCAGTGGATAACCGAGATATGATCATATCACAAATCGTGGTTCACAGCTCGGTTGTTATGACTTTAGGGACATCACATTGTACATTGCAGTAGAAGAGGTCAGACACAGTGAAAAATGTGTGCCCCTGAGCACAAGTGACTTTCATCAAAAACCACTGCAGAATACCAACATGAAAAATCAGCCTCAGAACATTTTTTATGTTGGTAATATCACGTTTTAATGTAAGTGTAAAAGCACTTTGTAAAGTACTTGACATGCTAACATAGTTCATGTGTTAAATTTAAAAATGAATATTACACTATGATATGGTTATATTTAACTGAGAATATAAATTATTCTCTAATGCTTTAATGGATATTTCATTAGTCTGCCATAACACAGATTTTTGTTTTACAGATGGTGGTTTTCAGAAGTTTCTTATATTGAATAAATGTATATTTCACATGGTAGATATTCTTGAAATGGATTATGAGGATTTTTGACATTAGTTGTAAACACAACAGATATAGAATAACTTCTTTAGAATTTCTACTTCTGTTTCATGCTTCTTGCCTTATCATTTTTACAATATGTAAATTACTACATTGGGTATCATCTCAAGGCACAGATGGAAAAATACCTTAGTTAAGTATTGATCTGGATGGAATGCCTCTACTGCTAAATAAACTATATGCTGCCTCACTCTTTTTTACAGTAGTCAGATTTAGAAGACAAGTAAATTTTAAAAAAATACTTATTTCTAATTACTCTCCCTGAGACCAGGAGAAGAGTTCACTTTAGATTTTCCTGCCATAGCTCAGACTATTTTGCTATTTTTTTTGAGTCAAAGGAAATGTTAAAACTGTTGATAGTTTTAGGCTCTTATCTATTTTATTAAAATCAAAGTTTTTGTAATGCAATTCTTTTCCAAATCCACACTGTTTCACTCTATGATTACTCTAGAAAATAAATTTGTTTAGTAATTGAACAAATAAATATTTGGGAAAACAGCTCTAAATAGATACTTAGTTTTTTCTTTGAAATAATGATTTTGAAAGGTCATGTTGACTGTGACCCCTGAAGGGACAGGGAGATAAGTGGGACTGGAATGTATGATGTGAAGTCACAAATAACCAATAAAAGGAAGGAAGGAAGGAAGGAAGGAAGGAAGGAAGGAAGGAAGGAAGGAGGGAGGGAAGGAAGGAAGGAAGGAAGGAGAAAAAGAGGGAGAAAGAAGGAAGGAAAAAAGAAGTAAGAAAGAAAGAAGAGAAAGGAAAGAAAGAGAAGGAAGGAAAGAGAAAGAAAGAAAGTAAAAGGAAGAAAAAAGGAGAAAAGTTGTGTTATTTATATGTATAAATGAAAGTTAAAACTTAAGTCTTGTGTCTTCAAGTATTGTTTCTTCAACTAGAGTCAGTCTATCAGTGGGTATTATGCGAGCTAGGAACACTGCCTTCATCCTGAACATTTCCCCCCACGGAAAACTGAACCTTTAGATCTCATTAAAGTACCAGGAATACATCATATAGTGTCACCATCAAGAAATGTATGGGTACTGAAGAGTTTGTTCAGTCGTTAGAAGCCCATGCTACTCTTGGAGAGGATCAGATTTGGGCATCGCACACGGAAGTCTAGTTGCTCATCAGCTGCTATGACTCCAGCTCCAGGGGGATCCAGTGCCTCTAACCTCTGCAAGCACTTGCACTCCAATGAGCTTGGGCGCGCGCGCGCGCACACACACACACAGCTTGCCCTCCAATGAGCTTGGGCGCGCGCGCGCGCGCACACACACACACACACACACACACACACACACACACAGTTAAAAAATTAAAAACTAAAAAGAAAGGATGGGTACAGTGGGAGCTCCTGTAATCCAGAGAAAGGATAGAGAAGGAAAATTGAGAATACAGTAAGACATGGTTCACATGAGGAAAGCATTGTTACAAAACTTTGAGTTCTTCACCGATCCCTATGAGACTTAAGAAAGTATACCACAAGGGCAGATGTCAACTCAGAAATTACAAAATCTGAATTTTATATAAATTATATATTACCAACACAACAGAAAGATGCCATAGGAGAAGATGGTAAGACTCTTCCTTTAAACCATACAAATTTCTTCTCAGTTAGAAGTATTGTGTGCTGATATCCTATCTATTATATTAAAAGCAGAGTTATATGGATAACACAAACATTGGTAAAACTTGGTTCAGTCGACATTTTTAAAAGAACATATAAAAACACACCACCACCTAGGCATCCATGTGCCTTCTTAGATGGCCCAAAAATGCATCCAGAAATAGAGAAAATCCTTATTAGAACAATTCTAACTTTTGTTGATTGATTAGCTTTAGGGTCAAGTATACTCCTGAATGATGTAGGTAAATGGGTTGTTTCTAAAATTGGGAATCATAAAGAGAGAAAAGCAAACACAAAGTTTGAGCATATTAAAGAAAAGTCAGTT